TCTGTTTAATGATGGCCGGTCAGAAGTCTCTTGGAGGAGAGACGAAATGTTTCATTAGAGAAGAACCCGTCCAGAGGACCTATACAATTTATTTCTTTTTGATTTTTCATAGTTACTGTGAAGTTTAGTTAGTTATTTTAGTGTCTTTGATGCAAAAACAAAAAAAAGGGGAGGCGATGAACGTGGAGCTCCAGTCCAGCTGAGGACAGGTGGACCGAGCTGCAGTTTGAGAGGAGCTCAAAGGAAGAGATGGAGGAAAAACAGTCAGAGACAGAGTGAGGACTTTGATGAGGAAGTAGCTGATTCACTATTTCAATTATAAGAAGCAAGAGAAGAAGATCGAGCACCGAGCGGACTCTACGGTCCCGTTACCGGTCTGCCGGGGCAGACGGTGCGGCGCTAACTGGATGCTAACTACACCGAACAGCTGATGAAAACACGTAAACAAAGGGAGGTGTAGAACTTTTTATTCAGCAGGTGGATCCACAACCTCGGTACCAAACAGCTCCACGATGATTATTGTTTGTTTTTACCAGGGTGAGTATTTGTTCTGATAGTTTTATATGTTAAGATAATGCTAACAGTAGAGGCTAACATCAAAAACATCCAGCAGGTAACGACACAGAACTAAGGCAGCCTAAAGTCCAGATGAGGTCCACATTAAACTACCAGTAACTTAATACTCACTGCTAAATAAACGATCATTATAAACATAACGTCTAAAACATGTTAGCAGCTAACATACCTCTGATGTAGTGATGTCTGCAGACACATCCTGCTCCTCCTGACCGCAGACGGTTTAAAATCCACTTTTTACGTTGTGGTTCTGTGATCTTTCTACATTTTTCATCTTTGTGTGATAATCAGTGTTATCATATGTTGTTATAGGGTTGGACAGAATCATGTGGAATTATTCATCAGATAAACTTTTGCTGGTTATTATTTGTCACCTGGTGATGTAAGACATGTGGTACCAACAGCCTCAGAAAATCTTTAGGTTCTGTTGAAAACTCATCTTCATCATACGAGTCATGTCTGACTTATTTGTGAACAAATCGTTGTTATATATCTTGAAATAGGACCTGAATCCATACAATATAAACTCTCTACAGTAGTTTTCTCTGTAGACATGTTACTTCCTGCCCTCCAGTGGAGAGGCTCCGCCTTCGAAACCACCTGACTGAAACCAGACTTTACTGGRTAAAATAGACTCAAACTCCTTCAGTGTCATTACCACGTTTTGTTCATAGATACTGAAGATCAAGAGGTTTGTCTCTTCTTTAATCCTTCATAAAATACTGTTTTCTTTAATGTTTTGAAGCTGAGGAAAAGAAATGATTGTTGTGAGTTTAATAAACAGTCATAAAGTGAGCTGAATAGAGAACAGTAATGATCTCTGGCCCCTGCTGGGTGGAGTTATTGCCTTCTGTTCTGCTCACCTTTCTGTCTGATTTCTACCTGTGCACACATTATTACAGGTGGGATTTTAATACTGACCTGTACATTGTCCTCAGTGTGGTTTGTCTTCAGCTCTCTGTCCTTTGTGATCCAGGACGAGCTGCAGGTCCAGCAGAGGGGTTCAGAACATGGATGTGTTCAGGAGGTGACAGGTCCATCTCTGATCTGTTTCACATGTTTGTGTTTTCAGGCTACATTGAAGCTGTGGTTATTCCTGCAGGAGCACGGAGGATCAAAGTGGTGGAGGACAGACCTTTACACAGTTTTCTGGGTAAAGATACTCGTGTTTAACAGGAGGTCACTAAAAATCACAGCTAAGAATCAGACATCTTCACATCACTCTGTAAGGTGGTTTATGTCATTTACTTCAACTTCCAGCTCTTTGCTTCTGTCAGAGCTTTCATTTCTGGAATGTTCTGAAAGTATTTTACCAAGAAACAGAAAGAAAAAATAAAGGTCCTTGGTAGATCATCTGAGTTTGTTTCTTGTAATTAATAAGAACATAGACGTTAACACATCAGGTAGAAGGCCTCCTATAAAAACTGTTTAACAAACACCATYATGTCATCTGACCAAAGCAGGATTTCATCTTCAGAGCCTTGCTGGGTCAAAGGAAAACCTTGAAATAAATACAGGTGATATCTACACGTTACTGTAGTCAGTGAGTTGTTCTGACTCTAATTACTGATGAACAGGTAGTGTAGTGTATCATGAATCACTGGATTAAAACAAAAAGTACCTTTTTCCTCTTTATTGTTGTTTCATTAGTGTATTTTAGATAGTATCCAGTAGTGACTACATGTGGAACTGAAGACCAGGTGGAGGTATACCTGAACTGAGCTGCCTGGGGTTGGTGTCGAACATAACTTCTGGTTAAGTTTATTATTTTGTAAGAAAATTCATATTCAATAGACTGAAGTTGATATTAAAGGTCGTATTCAGACCTGATAATTTGCTTTAAACGAACCAGAGTTCGTTTCCAGCGTTGGTCCGGACCTTTT